TTTATAAATTAGGGTTTAGGGCTTAGGGTTTGGGGTTCAGGGTTTAGGGGTTTAGGGTTTGGGGTTCTTGGGGTTTAGGGTTTCGGGGTTAGGGTTTAGGGTTTAGGCGTCCTTAGGCTTTCAAGGCTGGCCCCGCAGCTCACGTCTCTGATAATGTGGTGGTAAGGCTACAGCATCAATAACAATATTGATAATTAATGATCATATTGGTCATAATAACAATAATCATAATCAAAATCACAGAATTATGACATCATATTAATGCTCGAAACAATAATGATACAGCAAGCCCAGTGGTACCCTTTACCATTTGTTTGGTTCAAGGTCCCCCTGTAAAGTACCCAACCGAAAAAAGGGTGCCCTTATGATGGTACGGTTACTGGGCTAGAAAGAGTAATCTCGCACTCTTGATACAAGAATGAGAATGATGATGAACATATCGGTCAGAACGTGTAACATCGTAGTAATGATAATAACACAGTAGTAAGAATATAGTAACAAAACAGTAGCCATATAGTATTCGCGGATTAACAATACTAAAATTTAGTAATATGATATGTTGATAATCATATTGGTGTTTATACATACTGCTTCTTGCATAATGTGCAGGTGAGCTCAAGGCCTGTGTGTAGGGTCTGGAAATAGGGTTACGCATAGTAACAGTTCCTATGACTGTTTATGATTGCTTCTGCCCTTCATATAAGTACTCTTCTTCGGGTTACAAAGTTTCTTGTGCATTTGGACCCGGGACAGCAACTGAAAACTGTGTTTTGGGTTTAGGGTTTAGGGTTGCTATAAGTTATGATGTTGTCCTGGTTGCAGTCGCCAGAGCCGTTATGACTGACAAGGCACCATTGCTACTTTAGCCATCTCCCAACATGCAAGTCTATAGCTGTTGAAAAATATGTTGCAAAAGAACGCAATGCAATGCAATCTAGTGTCAGCATCTAGACATACAATGGCACACAAGATTACAACAGTATCAGTGGTGCATTAGCACTTCCTAGTGCACAGGCCGTCATTCTTTGCTTGCATAGTCAGCACAGGAGAGAGTGTTGCAAGAGCCATGCTTGCGCCCGCCGTGGGTTCGGATTTGCTTTCTTATTAGTGTTTTTTCTGAGTATTCTTATTGTTGATGATTGTTGCTATTAAGTACTACTGTTATACTATCATTACCAGTATGTTGATTATCACCAGTATTGTTCTTATTATTGTTGTTGTTACTATGTCTGTGAGTGTCGACGTGAGCCTGCTAAGTGGGAGGGCAGTTTCGCTGGACGCAACCCCAGAAACGTTAGTGGAGACTTTGACACGAAGTGCGCAAGAGGCTCTGGGAGTCAAGCGGGGTCTGTTAGTGAGCGCTTCAGGCGAAATTCTGGATGGAACAGCAACAGTCAAAAAGGCAAGGCTGCGGAAAGGTGACTCGTTGTTGCTGCAGGTGCGAAAGCCTCGGCTGTCAAGCACAGGTAGTGCTTTTGCTGCCATCCTTGGCGATGGATCTGTGGTCACGTGGGGCGATCCGGAATGTGGTGGCAACAGCGCAGCCGTGCAAGATCAGCTGAAGAACGTGCAGCACATCCAGGCCACCGGCTGGGCTTTTGCCGCCATTCTGGGCGATGGATCTGTGGTCACATGGGGCAAGCCGGAATGTGGTGGCGACAGCAGTGCTGTGCGAGATCAACTCAAGAACGTGCAGCAAATCCAGGGCGCCAACCGCGCTTTTGCCGCCATCGTTGGCGATGGATCGGTGGTTACGTGGGGTGAATCAGGTGGCGACAGCACCGCCGTTCGAGATCAGCTCAAGAACGTGCAGCAAATCTACGCGGCCACCTTTGCTTTTGCCGCCGTCCTTGGCGATGGATCCGTCATCACATGGGGAGATGCAGGTGGGAACAGCAGTGCCGTGCGAGATCGGCTCAAGAACGTGCAGCAGCTCCAGGCTACCGAATTTGCTGTTGCCGCCATTGTTGGCGATGGATCTGCAGTTACGTGGGGTGATCCTGATAATGGTGGTGACAGCACTGCTGTGCAAAATCAGCTCAAGAACGTGCGGCAAATCCAAGCCGGCGCAAGAACTTTTGCTGCCGTGCTTGGCGATGGATCCGTTGTCACATGGGGCGATGCGGAAGGCCATGAAGACAGCAATGCCGTGCGAGATCAGCTCAAGAACGTGCAGCAAATCCGCGCCACCGGCGACGGCGCTTTCGCTGCGATCCTTGGCGTTGGATCCGTGGTCACATGGGGTGATCCAAGATTCGGTGGCGACAGCAGTGCCGTGCGAGATCAGCTCAAGAACGTGCAGCAAATCCAAGCCACCGACATCGCTTTTGCCGCCATCCTTGACGATGGATCTGTGGTCACATGGGGTCATCCGGAATCAGGTGGCGACAGCAGTGCCGTTCGAAATCAGCTCAGGAACGTGCAGCAAGTCCAGGCCACGTGGCACGCTTTTGCCGCCATTGTTGGCGATGGGTCTGTGGTTACATGGGGTGATCCTGTGTGTGGCGGTGACAGCAGTGCTGTGCGACATCAGCTGAGCTGAATTCACCCCATATCCAAGCACTGCTCCGGCAAGTTTGGAGGTAGGGGTGTGACTTGCTCTTACACCTGTCAAGGTTGTGTAGCTTGTCTCCCCAAGCTTGAGACCGTTTGGCCCTTGTGTGGTTTGGCAAGGAGTGCTAGAACCATGCCATCATGACTTCTGTTCATGCGCTCCAGGACCTGGCGCAAGCGCAGAAGAATCGACTCTACACCGGTGTTGTCTAGCCATGGGGTTCCTGGTTTCTCACAGGTCCCAGCCCCAAGATAACAGGAATGGCGTCCCAAGTCAGAGCTGCTGGGTCTTGCTTAACAAGATTTACTAGTATGGAAATAGTAGCAGTAGATTGACTGTAGTGATAGTCGCAACAATACTTACAATTTAAGGTTGAGTGAAGTATTCAGCCTTGATCTGAATTTCTAAACCCCTGTCCTATTACCCTACGTCTGGACATCTGGAGCTTTGCTCTCGGAGGGGTCGCCTTGAAAAGGAAGACTCTGCGCAGCCAGCCCCCTTGCTTTCTCCCTAAGCCCTAAACCCTAAACCCTAATGAAACCCTGAACCCTAAACCCCCAACGTCAGCAATTTTGAGGCTGGACCCTTCTGGTTTGAGGAATACAATAAGATGCAAGCAAGAACAAGCTGAAATTTGCAAGTATACTCTACTAGTACTCTCATTATGATTATTATTATGATTTCTACGATTATTAGAATTATCACTATTGTTACTATGATCACTACTATTACTATTTATTATTATTATTAGTCGTAGTAGTTATAATAGTAGCAGTTATCGTCATCAGACGCATGATAACAGCAATACAGTAGCACCGCAATGAGACTTACAGTCATGATAATACACGTAATCATCACAGTCATATCAAAGTTTCTGGTGAGTTGCACCGGGCCACTCCTAGCCCACAGAGCTCGGAAGACCCTGTCATCTCGGAATGCACCCTCCCCAAGTCGCTGCTAAGTATCTTGCAACCCCTGCTCCTCTCCTCCCCTCGCAAACAACAGAGATCGACAAAGAGCTCCCTACGCCACCAAGCCTCACCCCCACAGTCCACCTTCTCTTCCCTCATAGGGTTCAGCCTTGAAAAAGTGCTACTCACAAGTCTTTCCCCAGAAATTAGGGGTTTTTCATAGGGTATCTCTGAAAGGGTAGATGGCACCCTAAAGCCTCCCCGAACCGAAGCAGTTGGCCCCAGGACTCCCTGGGTGAGAGGGCGGCCCAGGCTGTCGCAGCCCTCCAGGTCGGGCGTCGCTTCTCTAGGAGATCTCGAGGATTACGAGGGGGCTTATGTGAGCACAAAACAGCCTGGGTCCTAAGTGCGGGCTTCTAGAAGATTGCCGAGTCTTGGTAAAGGACATCTAGAACAAGATCTCACGCAAAAAGTATGGGGTTGTGGAGGTGGGGTTTGGGGGACACCCTCTGGCCGGTGGCATGCCGTCTTTGTTCTAATACCACGACAGGACCCCTCGATTCATAAAGGACGATGCACCATATGGGCCCCAAACACCCTGGAAGGTTGCGGCCATGGCACCTCCACCACCGGTGCCCAAGCAACACGCGCCGAGCATTGATGCAGGGACGCACCTTGGCTGGATCTGGAGTGCGCAGGCCATAGGGTGCAGACCCAGAGCAAGGCTACTGCAATGGTCATTAGGCGCACGGTAGGGCGCTTGAGGCGGCAGGGCGTCCATCCTTGCACAGCTGGCGCTGGCGCTGACATCCCAAAGCCTGCACCCCCCCCCCCCCCAAGACCTCCCAGAACATCTTGGCGGCTGAGGAGCATCATCCAAGTGCTGGAGCAACTCCGCCATGAATCATTTAGCTGCGGTGGGGGAGCGGAGGAAAGGGTGTACCCGGGGCCTGTCTAGAGTGTTTGTCTACCCTTCCGAATATGCGGAAGACAATGGCGTCAGGTTCGCCTGCTGTTGGTTACCCCTCAAGTAGAGCCCCAAATAGTTGCCCGGATCTCGTATGCCTGCCCACAGCCGAGGATGTGTGAATCTGAGCTTGCCAAGAACCTGGCGCAGCTAGACACCCAGGCCCCGTAAATGGTTCGAGTAGATTTGAGTTCTCAGTTCTGCGGGAGCCTATAGTTGCTCGCATCATCCCAGCCCCCATATTCTTACTTCATCTGAGGCAGTCTGAGACATAATTACGGCACCAAGCATCTAAGTCATCCTGTCAGGGTCAGGGAAATACAAGTTTGTGACAGGACTTGGTGTAGTGGAATGCATGCAGTTCAGGGTATGCAGGTTCTCATGTTCGGGCGCGCTCCGAGAGCAATTTTGCCAGCCCGCGGCTTCGCAAGGTTTCTCTGAGGTGTTTAGGGTCTCGTAGGGTTGTCTTCTCTTGCAGAGCTGCTGGCATCACCGGCATCACCCCACGATGTTTTTCTCCCCTGCTTCCCTCACAGTGGTTGCGCAACTCATCTTGCAATTCCCCCACATGGCACAGCAAGACTTTCGGAAGCTGTCGGCCTTTTAAGCTTGTCAAGTTGACATCAAAACGCTGAGATTATGTTCATCTCGGTTAGAGAAGACGCTACTGTGAGACTGTGACCCCTTTTTTGCGCGCAGGCGAGCGACGACGAGGCGGAGCAGCGCGAGTTGCTGAAGCAGCCCCTAGGCCTGCTAAAGAGGTGATGGACGTTAACCTTGGTTCATCTCTTGAGATGATAAGCAGGAGACCTCTTTCAATACACTTCTCTTTATGCAGCCACCGCTACTTCTATGTATTGTTTTTCAAAAGCTTCACCTCTTTTTCCCAGTTCCGAGAAGCACGCCTCCAGCGAATAAGGAGCTTGATCCTGCAGAAGCAGAAGGAGCGGCCGAAGTGTTCAGAGTCCAAGATTCGGAGCGTGGGCTTGAAGGCTTCTTGGGTTCTAGGTTCACTCGGGCCAGACAGGCTTCGACCCATAGGGATTACAGGGTTTAGGGTTTAGGGTTTAGGGTGTATGGGGTTTAGGGTTTAGGGTTTCGGGGCCTGCTTCTTGGAGAGACAGGTGGCCGAGGAGAGTGACGAACTGCAAGAAGCACCGAGAACCTTGCGGAGCCGTAAAAAGGCGAGCCTTCCGCTACCTTGGGGGCCAAAGGAACCCTAAAAGGGTTTAGGGTTCATATGATCCGAATAGCAAGTATAGGGCATATGACCCCCAATTTTAGGGTTTAGGGTTCATATACCCTTAGTATAGGAGAAACAGTAGTATAGGGTATGTGACATGATAGTAGTATAGAGTATCTGACGGTCCATTTGGTGCCAAGGTACCAAATGCAAAGTCGCCCACGCGTCACGAACATCCCTTCAGCCTTTTGCAAGGAGCTCGATGTCAAGCGCAACGAGCGGGAGGTGGCGGCAGCCGACAACGAGGTGATGGGAAGTAGAGACCCCCCCCCAAAAAAAAATTAATAATAAAGAAAAACAAATGAGTAGTGAGCCCCGTTGTTCGTGGCTCTGCTCTTTGCTAGTCTTAGTCATGGCAACTCCTACGGCAGTTCCCAAGTGATCAGGGCTTGCATTGGGCAAGGATTGCGGTGCTGTTTCGGGTGACCATGCACGTATGTGCTCGTGGCATGTCTGTTGTGCTTTTGCGACGACTTCTTCCAGTGTCCGCAGGCTTGCCTGGGTAAGAAGTAAACAGAAGTCAGAAGAGAGTGCGACCCCTCCGGGACCGCACATCTGTTCTACAGTCCTTTGCCACTTTGTTTTCGGTATCTCTTTCTCATCCTTACACCCCACTTTCTCCTCTTTGTCCCTCTAAAGCTGTCAGCTCCTAGACCCCCAACATTTACACCATGCAACCTGGTTTCGGTAAGTTACCGAGGGATGTTTCAGGAGAGCTCTGTTTTTCAGAGAGCACATTCGAGTCCTTAGAGTTCCGAATCCTTTGGGAAGCTTGCAAGCGCGAACGAAACAAAAGCCGGCCCGCCACAAAATCCGAAGCCCTCCATAAACACCCCAAAGCCTCAAGTTAACAGGAACAAAGGAAGTACCTGTGCCGTAAACCCTACATGCCATGATCGCGCCGCCAATAGAAGTAGCGGAAGGCGAGTTTCTTGGTGACTCAGCATCCCCAAACCCTATAAGCCCTAGACCAGCAAGTTGGCCCGCAGGTCAGGAGGCTGAAGGCAGACTTGGAGGCTGCAAAGAACGAGTTGGAGCCACTGGAGGAGCACTCTGGTCAATTTACCTCCTGATTCAGGAGTCTTGGGGTTTAGGGATTAAAGGGATTAGTTTCTGGCAACACCCCAAAAACCTCCGGATGCAAGAAGCGGTATCTGGAGGGTCTTCAAGCAGACTCTGCGCGACTGCTTGAAAGGCGAGAGCCTTCAAGCTTCTTTTGCAGCTCCCAATACAAAAAAGGCAGGTTCCTGTTGTGTGTGTTCCCAGTTGACGAGCTGCAACCCAGATCCTGAGCAGCTTTCTATCCTATACATATATATGTATATATATATATATATATATATATACGTACATATATATATATATGTATGTATATCGTGCATGTGCATATATATATATATATAGTGCATATACATAGTATATGGAAATATGTGTATACGCGAAAATACATATATCATCAGTGTAGTGTATGCAATGGCGAACATGCCTCCGCATGCTGCGCGCGCCCGATTCTGCGCATTGTGAAATTATGTTGTTGAGCTGTGTGCTTGCATATGACCCTTGGCGCCCCGTCCAAATGGTGTTGTTGCTGAGGTATCTTCACATCGACTTTCATGATTCGGGGCTTGGGGGCCTGCGACTTCTCGTCAGCTATAGCTTTCCCGGTGCCGAGGTACTATGCCCAAGTGAAGCAGCGCTGCGAGAAGAAGGTCACTCGCGAAGACATCTTGCAGCGAAGAAAGCGCGAGATTGAAGGCCGGGGCGAGAGCACGTGCTTTGGCATATCCGCGAAGAGTCGCAAGCTTCCGATGTCCGCAAAGACCGCAGGCCCTTCAAGAACACTTGCCTCAAAGCCCTTTAGGCGCCGCACCCACTCGCCAGCGAAAACTCCAACCCTGAACCCTTAACCCTCCCAACCCCCCCAAGCCCCGCTGCAACAGAAACCCTTCATCGCGAGCTTCTGACCAGCGCTCTGCTTTCATTTAATAGAGGGGTCGGAATAGTTACTAATCAATTTTATGCTATCAGAACCCCTAAAACCCAATTCGAATTATTAAAGGACCCTTCAGTTACTTCATTCCTCTCCCATCCTGCATGGGCTATTCTACCCGAAAACCCCTTTGGCCCTGCATAGGGTTGGTTCGGGGGATTATAAGGCCTCCATGTACCTTTTCATACTTGGGCCCCAAAGTCCCTTTTCAGAAAGTACTTTAAGGCCCAAGTATTCCCTAATTCGGTACATGGACCTTTAGGGTCATGGCCCACGCTGGGTGTGGCGCAAGGCTTGAAGGAAGCCTTGGCAGTGCTCGAGGGCGAGTCCAGCCTCGCCACTCTGCTCAGGTCTCTTTTTTTGGGGTTGAGAAGGCGTGGTTTAGGTTTAGGGTCTAGGGTTTAGGGTATAGGGTGGCTTTTGCTACTTGCTTTATTTACTGGACAACATCAAAGTAGCCAGGGGGAGCAAAACATTGAGAGCTCGAAAGTTAGGACACGGCATACATGTGCAAGTTGCGGGCTGCGACGGGATTTCAGGGTCGCTGTCCTTTGTCGTCCCCCTTATTTCGATTTCCGAAGTCACACATATCTGGCGAACCATAATTTGATCCAGCTTTCCCTGAGCAATAGCATCAGTAGTAAAAAGCGGAAGAAGATCATGTCTTGGGTACTGCGAAGTGGGCACTGGTCACGCCGCACACCGTCGAGCTACCAGAATCCAGATAAAGTGTAGTGACTCGATTCATGGGGCTGCTACATAGCAGCCGCCCCGGTGCCAAAAGAAAAGGACGGTTAGGGGTTCAGGGTTTAGGGTTTAGGTTTTAGGGTTTAGGGTTTAGGGTTTAGGGTTTAGGGTTTAGGGTTTAGGGTCGTCAAAGGTGCAGCTGCGAAAGCATCGCGCGGTGTCCTTCCTCCAGCGCCGCATCGAGCACGACTGATTTCCGCAGCAGGGTCTAGTTCTCAAAAGGCTGCTGCTGAACCCCCCTCCCCAAACCCTACTACTTGGTAACTGAGTAGGTAAACCTTTTGCGGTATATATGTGTATATATATATACACGCATACAAATATAGATGTACACATACATATGGTATATATAATCCTACCAGAATTAGAATGGTTAACCTTGTTTGGTGCTGGTACTCAGCAACTAGGACCAAATTTCTGAAACTTGCCGAGACGGGACCCATCCAGAAGCCACTACAGCACCAGGGCTCTTTGCCCCCTTCTGACGTGCTGTCATGCCATTGCGCGAAAGAGCTCTGCACCGCCTCACTTCTCTTGCCCAACCCCAGGGCACGTAGGGGTTTTCAGGTTGGGCACGAGGATTCGGCATTTCTGCTTGATTGAGGCGCTTTGGGGTGAGCATCTGCTCAGGCCCTGCTGGAAAAACCATGATTCGTCGCCCAACATCTGCCGGGTTCCGGACAAATTGTTATAGCGAAGACGACAGCCCTGACCCGGAGTTTTGTGAGCGATCCAGACCCATTCAAGCCTTCAGCCCTAAAATGCCAGACGAGCACCCAAACCTGGCTCAACACTGGGCGGCCTAGGGCTTGCCAGGCTGTGTTTTGTAGATTCTGTTCATATCCAGTGCATATCTCCCAGACCTCCATGTTTTTCAATTAAGCGCCTTGCAGGCGGCTTCGTGCGACCCGGCAAGCTGCAGGAATCACAGCAGCATTCGCGGGGAAAGAGTTTTTCTGGCCCCAGACCTAGGAACGGACGGATTCCCGCATATTTCTACGCCCGCAAGCCTGGGGCACTGCCTCCTCGATGTGTCTAGAAAGGGCCCGGCCCTTCGCACTCCGTTCAGAAAGAGTAGCGGGGCCACCGGAAAGTGGTGATTTCCCCTATGTCAAGCACTTGAGAGGGAGTTCTGCGGCTTCAGGGCTACTAGGGGGGGCAGTCTTCGCAGACCTCAGAAAGCAGATCTCCTCAGGAGCTGACAGCTTGCAAGCTTTGCTTCTGGACTGCGACGGCGTGATCGCAGATTCGGACACTTGGGCTTGGACGAGACGCACAGCCTTCAAGTAAGAACAAAAAATGTATTATGTTGTATTCTGCTATGGTATAGTATATTGTATATATTGATGTACTACCAGTGGCTTGTGGATCAAGACTTTTGTAACATTGGAGGCCTTGCTTGGTGGTGTGAGGAATACCTACACAGGGAGGCCTACAACGAGGTCTTTGCCGAGTTTGAGGTGGACGCGGTTTGGTCCAAGGAGCAACCGGGCAAGAGTCTACCTGATAATGTTTTGGGTGAGGCTTCTTTGAGGTGGCTGCGCTGGAGATTGCGTGCCTCTGTGTGGCTTTGAAAACTTCCTGAAGACCTGAAGAAAGTCTAAGAAAGTCCCAGGTTGAGTGCGAAAACAAGCTGCGCGGAGTAGTAGAAACTCCCAAAGGAATCAAAGAATGCTGGGAAATGCTGCCGGACCAGAAAATTTTTTTTCGCCCCCACTGTGCCAGGCTTCTGCACATAAGGCCCACAGAGCCCTGCAAACCGACGGCCCTAAGCCAGATGTGAGAATGGGCTTAGGGACCCTGACAAGACTCACAATGACCGATTTCAGCAAAGCACGGAAACCAGAAGCTTCTTTCTCAAGCCGCGGGTCCAAAACAGCCAGGCAGTCAAGTCTTCAGGGGGGGTCGTTCAGGGTTAGATTCCAGGGTCCTGAACAGTCACGGCCCCTGCACATGTTTCAGGAGGGGGATGAGGAGGGGCGCAAGTTACATTTGTCATTATTGATGCTCACATAAAGATCTATCCCCGAAACCCTTCTTTTACAATTATGAACTGTAACATACGTGTATATGCATATCATATATGCATGAAAATCATACATCATACATATGTATATATATATATATACACATGTGCGTGTGTGTTTATATTTGTTCATTAATACGAACATGTTTTTGTTTACATGTTACCCCCCTCCCCCCCGCGCAAGCCCTGAATCCTAACTAGTGGTGGATTGAAGGCGTGCGCCGCTTTGAGATTTGGGCATCGGCTGTTTCCCCTCTGGCTCAGGTACTACGTCGCGGCCTTATGATTCGGCTGACATGAAGCATGATATCTTGAATCATATTGCGGCCCCTTGACTAAGGTGTATTTTCTTGAATCATACTAAGGCCCCCTGCATAAATTGAGCAGGTCGGAGCCCCCTTCCAGGGTTTAGCGTTTAGGCTTTAAAGGGTTTTCAGGGTAGCCAATTCCGATCAGCACACGGAGCCATCGACCCTCTGAGTCCCAAGCACCAAGCTTTAGAGACCTCGCCCGGAACCCGCACGCAGGCCACCCCTACGCCACACAGATCTGTTTCACCCAAGCCTAAAGACACCCTGAAGCGACCAGCTTCAAAACCAGCTGAATACATTACAGTTTCGAAAGCCCATCCAAGTCGATCTTACGTTACCATAGATCTTCCCAAGGACGTGCTGCAGAACAAAATCGGCGGTGGCGGCCGGGACTGAATCTGATGCTTCCGCATCGCGTAGATGCATGAACGGTCGGATTTGTCTCCCGAGCTGCTAAGTATGCAGGCGCTGAAGTCTTCGAACCGGGATTCAGTTAGCCCCTCTTTACTACTTTACTGCAGGTAGGCGAATTAGGCTTTTGGCTGAATGTTGCAAAGGAAGAGCGAAGGCGACGTCTTGGCAATTGAGGTTCCGCCTTGGAGCTTTCCAGCTATTGCTCAGCCGTTTTCACCTGATGTCTACATGAGGTACTCAGGGTACTCCCCCCCCCCCCCACCCCCCCGTTTTTTTAAATCCTCCTTAAACTGCAGAAGCAATCTGAAGCGCCCTAAGTCCTAAACCCTAGAGGTTTTAGGGGGGATCGAGATATCGGGTGGGCGACTGCACTTGTAGATGGGACATGATGGGGCCGTGACATGGCTTGTTTGGGTACCGCAACTCGGTTCAGAAAATGAGATGTAACGTCGTCCTATCGGGGTCCCCAAAAAAACTGTACAAGCCCAAAACCTCGAAGCCAAACTGACCAGATCAATCACTTCTCCTCTAAATTATGGTCCCTTTTAAGGGCCCTCTGACATTTGGGGTACCCAAAAGGGGACCTTAAGGGCCCCCTGACATTTAGGGTACCCAAAAGGGGACCCTAGTTTTAGAGAACTGACCAATATCAAGGCAACCTGACATTTAGGGTACCCAAAAGGGGACCCTAGTTTTAGAGAGCTGACCAATCTCAAGGCAAGCCGAAGATGCGCTATCATTTCGGCAGGGGCCTCAGGGGCAGTCGAAGCCCGGGTTTGCCCCAACTGGGAACCGAGGGGAGGAGGGTCTAGGGTTTAGGGTTTAGGGTTTAGGGTTTAGGGTTTAGGGTTTAGGGTTAGGGGGGAGGAGGAGGAGTGGGGTTCTATCTTGGGTCCATGCGGTGCCTCGTGGGATCTTTTGGGAATTCTGACAAAGGGTCTCGATGACTTAGAGCCGCATCCCAATACCCCGCCTGCGATCGCTCCTGAAAATCTTATTTAAAAAGCCTATGAAACCGAAACCTCAAGACCTACAGCCTATATGAACCCCCCCCAGCGTCTCACGCAGGCGAAGTGGGCTGGCCCACCTCGGTGAAAGGTCCTCCGCCCGAAGATGAGATGAGCCGCGAAGCGCTCATTGACGCCCTACAGGCGACGCGGCGACGCTGTTTGTGCTCTGGGTGCTGAATCCTTTAAGAGACCTTTGCCGCTCTATAAGTCCTAGAATAACTTATGAAAACCCTGATTGTGCATGGAAACTGGTTGATTGTGTTGAGCTACGTTAGCTTCGCTGATGTCACACAACTTGTCGTACCAGCCCACGTGAGAGCATTGGCCTAGCCGGGCCAAGCCATGAACAACAGGGTGTTGTGATATCGGACTCGGAAACAATAGGACTGGGACCACTTGATGCTGGTTCCACTCTGACGGGCTCTAGACCCTCCCCGGCCTTGAAAAGCGGCTCGGAAGCCCATTCTTGAGTTTTCCTTTCCATGACCCAAAGTCAGTCACAAAAAGAGACGCGCAAGGACAGGAAGACCGACATCTACCGTGGCTATGTGACGCCAGGGACATAGTTCATGCAATCAACTCAGGTCTTGAGTGGCTTTTCCCGTTGTAACACAGTCCTCCCCGATGCGGTTCGCCAGTCGTGTGTCGGGGCATGGCGCCGAGCTAGTGCTTCTGGCCGGGATCCGACTTGGGATGTTTCTCCCTCTACTGACAGTCCCTAAGTGGGATTGTAGTACGCCCTAATTATGATCATCCCTATTAAGGGCTGCTAAAATAAGGGGGGAACATCCTAAGATCCCATCGTAAACACTACGAAGCGCAGTGGCCATAATTCGGCCGAAACGTTTCGAGGGGAGACCCTATGAGGTGTCTTGCCAGCAACTTTAAATACCATCACTCCCAATTGCCTGAATAGCCCTACGAGCCCTAATTCTTGTTTAATTACCAAGGTCCCTACTAGCTTGTGTATGAGACCCCACACAAGCCATGGGCAAACTGCACGAATACTGCTCGCGAAGTAGACTTGGCTTTTTTCTGATGACTCTTCTGATTATTCAGAAGCCCTTGCTCGACACCCTAAGCCCCAAACCCTAAACCAAAGTAGACTTCAGTTCATCTAGGCGGGACGGGAGAAATAACAGCCCTCATAAACCCTAGGTGCGTGGGCGGTGGTTGTGCAACACGCTTGAGCTGCTTCCAATGTGTTGTAGCATAACGACACGAGGACCTCTGGACCTCTGGAGCCTTGCGTGCGCGTGCGCCAGTGTGAGAGCCGAAACCCTAAATCCTATAGCCCCCTAAACCCCGAAACCCCTAAGTTAGGTCTGGGAAAGCCTCCGCCCGCCCGGGCATCCTGGCGCTGATCGAGGAAGGGCTCCAGCGGCGAAACCTGAGGCTTCTCCCCCGAACACACTTGCGGGGAGGGGGGGGGGGGGGGTTGGGGGGATGTTAATGATGACTAGGGTTAGGATGCTAATTCTGATGACTATGATGATTGTTATGATTTTGCTATGATCATTATGATGATGATATGATTTGTTTGTGATTATTATGATTGGCACGAGCGTCGTGGGTTTTGTGATTACGCGGGTTATTTATTTATGACGGCTATGATGACTGTGTGAGTATGATTATCATGACCATGATGTTTCTCCTTGCTTGCTTTTCGGAGTATGGTTCCCACAAGTGAGGATGGGTTTTCGCATGTAGGCTCCTGTATGGGGGAGGCTATTAGGGGGTGTTCGTGTTGCTTTTGTTTCCCTTCTCTTTAGCACTTGTTTTCCCTTTCCTTCTTATACACTCTCTTACACTCTCCTTTTTTCTTCAAATCCTGTCGGAAGACCTGCCGTCTGGTTTACAGGGGGCCTTGACTTGGGTGGGTTTTGGGGGTGGGCTTGATTAAATCTAGAATTCTAGAAGGGTCAGGGTGGGTTTGGATGGATATGGGGGGTCGGGTTGAGTTTTGGGGTGCGCTTGGGAGGGCTGGTCTTTCTTTAGAAGGGGTGGGGCTTCGATGTGTTTTGTTCATGTCTTGTGCCGTTCAGAGACTGAGAGCTTAGACTCCGTTTCCGTGATTAAGTGGATTTAGTGCCGTTTCGGGTCGAACCTGAAACCTCAATCCATTGAAGGAAGAGAGTAATGCACCAACAGAAAGCAGACTTGGATGCCGGGAACACGGATTCTCACACTACATGGGGTCTCCGAAATTCGGGGGTACCTTATTGGGGGTCCGGATTACAAGGGGCATCCGAATTATTCGGGGTTCTTATGAAAGGGAATTCCTACAATTTGGGGATCCACATGGGGCGTCCCCTACTCTCGCAAACCTCCACATCACTCCTACCCAAGAGTCTCCGCACCGAAAGGATGGCGATTTGCTCCGCCCCTTGGCTGAGAGTCCCCAGCCTTGGTGTGCCATATAGGGTTTAGGGTTTAGGGTTTAGGGTTTAGGGTTTAGGGTTTAGGGGATCCTTCCTAGAGAGCCGGATTGGGGGGCCGGGGTTTAGTGAGAGGGGCGTAGGACATCCATTTTGGGTTTTTCAGCTTGCTGGGTATTTTCGACTTTGAGGCGAGGATTTTCGAGTCCGCGATGTGCGCTGCTATGATCGCTCTCTTTGCCCTGAGCACCCCGAAACGTACCCCCCCCCCCCCCCACCCTCCTGATTCTTCCCAAGCCACGCACGCAAATCCTACGGAATCTACAAGCTCCGATACATTGAATCCTGGCTCCTAACCGTAAACCCTAAACCGTCAGTGAGCCCATTCTCAGGCCGGCACCAAGGAAGCTGCACAGCAGGTCCTTTCCGCCGTTGTGGGAGCAGCGAGCTCAGACTGCCAAAGGGACGTTGAAACGTTTGGGCTCCAAGGTTTCCCACAGGAGACCTGAAGCAAAACAGGGTTTAGGGTTTAGGGCTTTAGGGTTTAGGGTTTAGGGCTAGGGTTTAGGATTGTCCTTCCATTGTGGCATTGGTCCTCTGATCCCTCGTTGTGAGGAAGACCTCCTGGAGCAGTTTGACTTGATACTGCTCGGCGACGACGTGAGCAGGATCCACTAAGGGAACCTGGGACAACCCACAATGACAATATGTTCATCGTGTGTTCCTACCTAACATTAGAGTAGTACTTCTCACCTTTCTTGTGAATCGTAACGTTATTACACGTAGTAGCTCGTTACTACAGTTCTAACATCAAGGCATATTTGCCTTGCACAGCGGAGGAGCTGACCTAGGTTTGCGGATCTTTAGCGTTGCCCTAGACAGTGATTGTGCAATCATTTGCAGAGACCTGTAGAGGGAGCGTGACTTCGATCAGCCCTTGAATACTCAGGCAGGACTCAAACAGCAAGTAGATTGAGAAACCTCGCCGACATGTGGCACGGGGACTTTGACAAGATTGGGGTGAGACAGTGATCATTGTGCATTGACACAACTCTACTCACATCCACGATTACCTCGTTCCTGGAGGTCAAGGCTCCGACAAAGGAAAGCCAATATGCTTTGCTGTTGCATGTTTTTGGCGTTTTTATGGTTTGGGGTTTGGGGCATGTTGCACACTCCAAGAACACATCTTCATGAGGCAGGCCGGAAGGAGACCTGCTACAGGCCGTGTGCCATGCCTGAACACCTCCACTCCTGGGCTCTAAATGCCACACATGTCGGCCAGGAAGAAGCCAGACCCTTTGATTTACAAGCTTGCATCTGAACGCCTGGAGCCCAGATGCATGATGCCCCCAGCGCCTTTCAGGTTTTGAGGGCTGATGTGTTTCTGTGGGGGGGAACACGTTCTTTGCTCCAAGCATGTGTTCATCAGCTACTCTTCCTGGCCGATACTTGACTGCATTCCCCTGCGGTTCCACTCAAGAGTGTACCCCAGCGGACCCTAGCGCAAAAACCCTCACCATCAGGATGACTTCGCAGACGACCCATCAACCTTTAACTTATGTTCGCGGTACTGTAGTACGAGCTGTTGACGGATCTACTCTGTGATAAGGCACAAGGTTTCACCTTCATCATGGAGCTCCAAAAAGAGCCGAGGTAGCAAAACCCTAAACCACAAACCCCAAGCCCTAAACCCCAAACCCTAAACCCTAAACCTTGCCGGCCAAGTGCGAGTGCCAGGGTGAAACCCTAAACCCTAAACCCTAAACCCCAAACCCTAAACCCTAAACCCCAAACCCCAAACCCCAAACCCTCCCCGAGGCTTGGGCGTCCCGGCCGAGCGCTGCGCCGTGGTTGAGGATTCGAAGCCCGGAGCTCAGCACCCTAAGGGGAGAGGTAAGATGGGGGTTTGCGATTTTAGGGGTACCTTATTGGGGGTTTAGGGTTTAGGGCTTAGGGCTTAGGGTTTAGGGTTTGGCCCCATAGCCACAAGATGGGAACCCCTTTAAGGCCCAAGTATATACTATACAGATACATGGACCCCCTTAGGGTTCTGGGGGGCCTTTGCTCGGAGAGCGACTGTTCTTGCTACATCCATCAGGGAGCCCAGGAAGCAAGAAAGGGCTTAGGGTTTCTAGAGCTTGGAGGGTGGAGATGGCTCAGGTTTTAGGTTGAATTTGGGTTTAGGGTTTAGGGTTTAGGGTTTATAGGGTTTATAGGGTTTATAGGGTTTAGGGTTCAGGGTTTAGGGTTTAGGGTTTAGGGTTTAGGGTTTAGGGTTTAGGGTTTAGGGTTTAGGGTTTAGGGTTTAGGGTTTGGGCAGCCGTCAGAGCGCGCGCGGGGTCAAAAGGGTTTAGGGTTTAGGGTTTAGGGCTCGGAGTGTCGTGGGGCTTGCCTGAGTTCTTGAAGAGACGAAACGCCGCACGCCCCAGAGCCCTCTTGAGACTTGGCGTTGTCCCTGACTCCTCCAGAGTGGGCTGCAGATACCCTAAACCCTAAACCCTAAACCCTACACTCTAAACCCTAAACCCTAAACCAAGGCCTCGGGACAAAACGTAGCACGGACCCCCCGAGAAAACACGGTAAATAGATCTGGAGCCAAAATGTTTTTTGCGCCAGCTGCATCATTGCGCCAGACTTCGATACATCATGTAGACCATGGCCTTACCACACACGCCCCGAACCCTGAACCCTGATTGCCGAACCTCCTACACCCTGAAAACCACCGTAAAGACTGCCATACGGAGAGCAGGATTGGCTTGGAAGCTGCGCTGGCACCGGGCTTAGGACACCACACTCTCGGCTTCGGGGCTTCCTCATAGAGGCCCTGAAAGATTTCGGCAGCTTTTTCGGGGGATAGCAGTTGCTTTCTGGACTTCTCAGCTATCCCACCTGATTCCTAGTGGGTTATGGGGATGTCGAAGCCAGCTCAGGCGGCGGGCATGCGATGCTTCATCACCTACACAGACTCCACGCAAGGTGCGCTGGCCGTACTGTGTGGCTGCGCCGTGTCATAGCTGCATCGTGCAAGTTCCTAAGATCCCCCACCCCCCCAACCCCCCCCCCCCCCCCCAAAAAAAAAAAAAGAAAACACAGACACAGACACACACACACACACACACACACACACACACACACACACACACACACACACACACACACAGAGCGAGTCAGACGACAGTTCGAAGATGAACCTTCGAGGCCAGGACTTCTCCGGAGCCACCGAGGTGCTCCCCGACGCCACGCACCTTGTCATTACCCGAACAGGGGGGTTTCTGTCGAACCGGAATTTCCTCCTGGGACCCTAAGCCCTAAACCCTAAACCCTAAACACGCCTGAGAGCTGGAAAATGGTTAGGGGCAGGCTTAAGGGACTTCTGGCTTACAGGCTGGGCATAGGAGCCTCAAGACTATAGCTGCCGGCGGCCCGTGTAGAAAATCTTGGGGTTGTTTGAAGAATCTATAGGGGAGCTCGGATCTCTTTTCAACGGCGCAATACATCACCCACTTAGTTTACTTGTGCAGCCATCGTTCTCCTTTCGTTGAACCATGATGGGGCGATTGTCAATCCTGAGTTTCCGGACCCTGCGACAGTGAGTGGGGGCTTCTTATGATAACAAGCTAGAGCCTCTCTACGGACACACATCCCTATTCAAAGACAGACCCGAAATGCTGCATCAGGCAACTTCTATGCTGCGGGCTCCGTGTAGTTCAGCCGTATAGCCCTTGTTCATCTTCAAAAGCTTAGATATTCGACCCTTGTATGGCCACCCCCTCCACCTTTGAAGATGGTGGACTTTCGGTGTGCAAAGCTGCTAGCAGCTCTGGATTCTCTCTAGAGTCTAGGGTTTGGGAGGTTCACTCTGGGTTTCAAGAGCTACTCTGACACCCAGCTCAGGCAGCTGCAACTGTCGAAGATTTTCCCCAGCTGACTTTGCAAGCCAGGCAAGAGGGGTGCGGGGTTCGCAGTTTTAAGCCAAGCGTCCCTGCAATGCCAGCCAAGAGGCCTTATTCTCTTCTCATCACAAAAACCTCCATGCACTACATTCCGACAGCTTGGGCGCCCTCATATGCACATTCTTGCAAAAGCCTCTTGCGTTCGGCGTGAAGACAAAAAGCGGTCGCTGTTTCTAGGTCCCTAGACCCCTAAACCCTAAACCCCAAACCCCTAACCCCTAACCCTAACCCTAAACCTTAAGCCGGCTGAATCTTGAGGGGGGGAAGCGGCTTTTTGGTGTAGCACCTCCCGGACTTCCTGCAGGACCCTGGGCACAGTGAGGCTGCTCAAAGACAGCTGCCTTTGAACGTGCTTCAAGGGATTCTGGGGGGCGATGTAACGTGTAGAAAGGGTTATATGTAGAGGGGAGTGAGATTAAGGGTCCCTCCTAAGAACCCTAAACCCTAAACCCTAAACCCCCGAGCCGCCGAATCAAACAACGACAAACCCTAGCTGTGGTCGTTGAGTCTTGAGAAGCGACATCGAGAGGTTGTTGAGGCTCCAGAACCATACCTGATAAGCAGCTACAGACCCAGGCCCTGAGCAAAACGTGAAAGGGCCAATTCTGATTTGGCCTTTTTCTTGGGTGGGGGGGGGGGGGGATTTCAGGGACAGATTTCTTACACGTGCAACATCCCAAACCCTTGGAAAGTAGAAAAAACACTGCGAATTTCGGGTTTTTCAGGGAATGATACAGGTACATTCCAGGAAGTACACCGTATATCCCCCCATGATTCCATCCAGCAGACTAGCCCAAAAGCTAACTTAAGACCCTCAGAGCCTCAGCAGGATCCCTGAACGCAGTTTTTTTCTTAAGAAGTGCTGCAAAGATGCGAAGCAAGTGCTCGAGGAATGAGTTCGCGGTTGGGACTTCCGGGCATGTGGGGGTATAGCAAGGGTTACAGTCGTTTGGGGTAAGTTACCCTGCACCCTGAAGCTGTTAGAGGAAATGCCCCTGCAGAATCAAGCAGGTTGAGGGCTCGGACATGTTCTCAAGTCCACTTCGCATCCCCAAGCCCTAAACCCTAACCCTAGGCCCTAAACCTAAACCTTGCCATAAGACCTATATAATCACTCAACCCACCAGAGCAAAGGGAAACACAAACAACAACAAAAGCAAACTCTTGGTTCGAGGTTTCAGGCTTGCAGGGCGACCCCGACAGGACATGAAGTGGAATATGATGACCCCCCTTCTATTTTCTAGGCATGCCTGGCCTCTTGCATTAGGTTTAAAAACAGGCAGTTTTCGGGCTGTTGGTCGATGATGCTGTCTATACAGTCACCGAATCCTGAATCCTGAGCTTACAGGCGATTCTCAAGTCATTCGTCAACCTGTTTGCAAATCTTGCACGTCGACCGCCTCGACCGAGCCCGAAGATCTACCATTAGCTTAAAGCCCCCCTAAAACGAGTATCATCCCTATGTTGCCCTTATAAGTCGGAATATGTTTCTGTTGCTGTGGGTTCTTAAGCGGTTAGTAGAAACCTAGATAGAATGGCCGTTGAAGGTTTGCCTGGATTGAGATTGAGGGGCACTTGGGCTTAGGATTGTTAAGGCCTGAGGGGTCGGGGAGTTCTTACGAGGTCTCAAAAGAGTCGAGGGTCCAACACATCGGATCTGCGTTGCCTGTGCTTAGGTGGAAGAGTTGAACGGGAGGAAAGTTGGAAGGGATCCCCTATCTTCGGCAACTAGCCCCCCCCCCCTTAACCCTTAAACCCTAACCCCCCTGTGAGCGCATACACCCCCCCCCCCCCCCGCCCCCAAATATGTCAACCTCCGAACCCTAAACCCTAAACCCTAAACCCTAAACCCTAAACCCTAAACCCTAAACCCTAAACCCTACCCTAAACCCTAAACCCTAAACCCGCTGTTCTGCCGGTTTCAAAAAGCGGGGTTCTCCGCGAAGCGGTTCACGCCTCGCTCGTGCGGTGTGGGCGGCGTGAGGCCTGGGCTCCAGGATGCGTTCAGGAAAGCAGAACAAACACCAAACCCTTAAACTTTAAAGGGCCGGCAAACAATTTATATATAAATATAAATAAATAAATATATATATATATATTTATTTGTTTATTTATTTATATATATATATATCCTCCAGGAATTGCAACCCAAAAAACCTTATAGGACACTCAGGCCCCTTTACCACCCTAAGCCTGATTATGAAGCCCTAAAACCCCTGCACGTGTTTTATAGGGCGTATTGGCTTCGTACTGGAGTTCTTGCGCAGTCACTTCGGGATTGGCTTGTGGCGTTTCGATGTTTGAGCTGTACCATAGGGGCCTCAATAGTTAGAATAGGGTTTTGGGGGGTTATTATGGTATAATTCTAAAGGGACCCTAAGGGAATACCATTAGTAATTCTTCCGACCCCTACAAATTAGACATTTTGGCTCCAGGCGTTTCAACAGCTTCAGCCCCAAGAGACCCGTGCGCTTGCGCAGAGACCAGCGCGACACCCGCATCATGCTTGCAGTCTTCTGGAGCCTCTGCGCCTTGGCATCTGCCAGCAGCAGATCGGAACTTCTGAGCATGAGGCATATCCCGGGATGGCCCTCTGGACCTGTGATGCTGGAGCTTGCTCTAAGGACATGAAGTCCATAGTGCTCGATGCGAATTGGCGCTGGCTCCACAACGGCCAGTACACGAACTGCTACAAGGATGGTGACTGGGGCAAGACCTTGTGCCCCGACCCTGTGACATGCGCCTTGAACTGTCACATGGAGGGCAACTCGGAGAAGCAGTACAAGAGCACCTATGGAATCCAGCCGATTCAGGATGGCGTCGAGCTGGGCTTTGTAACCACAACCAAGTACAGATCCAACTATGGCTCTCGGGTCTACATGCTGGACGACGAGAACAACTACCAGATGTTCAAGCTCAAGAAAAGGGAGTTCACGGCGTGCCCTGCAAACCTGAATGGTGCCGTGTGCTTCGTGGAGATGGACGCAGATGGTGGGAAGGCTCGGAGTGGGGGGACCAATGCAGCAGGAGCCAAGTATGGCACGGGCTACTGCGATGCACAGTGCCCTCATGATATGAAGTTCATGAACGGTAAGGCCAATATCGTCGGCTGGAACGCCAGCCACGACCCTCCCATTGGATCCTGGCAGAGATGGATATCTGGGAGGCCAACAGCCGTGCCACCGCCTACACCCCGCACCCTTGCTCCATCACCGGTCCATACGTCTGTGGGGGCACTGAGTGTGGTGACAATTCCGAGGATGAACGCTACGATGGTGTCTGCGACAAGGACGGCTGTGACTACAACCACTACCGCCTTGGTGACAACGAGTACTACGGACGTGGCAACGGCTTCACCGTCAACTCCAAGAAGAAGCTGACTGTCGTCACGCAGTTCATCACCGAGGGAAACACGGATGATGGAGACGTCATCGACATTCGACGGCTCTATGTGCAGGATGGCCGGGTCATCCCAAACTCCTACATCTCCTTTGCAGGCATGGTCGGAGATCCGGTCACCGATGCCACCTGTGCGGCAATGAAGTCAGCCTTCGGAGACATCAACGACTTCGCTCGCAAGGGTGGCCTCAAGGCTATGGGGGAAGCCTTGCAGCGAGGCATGGTGCTTGTGGTGTCGCTCTGGGACGACTCAGATGTCAACATGCTCTGGCTGGACTCGGACTACCCCCTGGAAAAGGATCCGAGCCTGCCTGGTGTGTATGGCTGCCAGTGACAATCACTGGCAGCCGCAAATGCATGCTAATTGCATGTCGCATGGATTGGTTTCAATCCTACAGCCTGGCAAGCTTACATGGTCCCAGGAACCATTCCCTCGAAGAGTTTGCCAGAGCCTTGAGGAGATGCGCATTGTACGAGAACCCGATGCTCCCTGGGTAAGCAGCACAGGATCTCGCCTAACCGCCCTCGTGTTGGACACTTTCGACTTGCATGATTTTGGCTGACCTGACTTGCAGGCACGCGAAACAAAACCTGAGTATAGACCTGCTGAAAGCCTGGAAAGTAGCAAGTGATTCCTGTTGGGGCGCAGCGTGAGGGAATAAGATGGAGATCGCAGCAGATTGAAGGTAGGACCTGATTCGGAGACCAAATCCTGGCCCTGCGAGCCGAAGCCCTAAACCCTAAAGCCTGAACCCTGAACCCTGAACCCTGAACCCTGAACCCTAAACCCTAAACCCTAAACCCTAACCCTTTTTTGGGCTAGGGTACTCAGCCCCTAAGTCTTCGCTTGCCCACCCCCCTTTACTCACGTCACTTGCTCGAAGCCTTCTTGAGGTCCTGATGACCCAAACCCTAAACCCTAAACCCTAAACCCTAAACCCTAAACCCTAAACCCTAAACCCTAAACCCTAAACCCTAAACCCTAAACCCTAAACCCTAAACCCTAAACCCTAAACCCGAAACCCTAAACCCAAACCCTACTCAGCCCCTAAGTGCTCGAAGCCTTTTTGAGGTCCTGATGAGATGGGGAATTGCTCCAGCGCACCGGATCCGGAGCCGATGGCGCGACCGGCACCTTGGCCTGTTCTTCTCTGGCAATTGGGGGGGGGAGATTCGGGGGCTTAGGGTTTAGGGTTTAGGGTTTAGGGTTTAGGGTTTAATTAGGGTTTAGGGTCTAGGTTTAGGGTTTATTCGGGTTTCAGGGGCTTATCATGTAGGGCTGACTGTGTCGCCCTCTCCTGGTTCCGGGGCGCGCCCGTTTCCCGTTTACCAGCGCCTTAACAATACTCCGCAAGGGGGCCCCTTTCTACTCCCACTTGGAGGTTCATGGGCAATCATAAGTAGGGTTCTCTGTACCCTAAATAGGGTTGTAAGTATAGTCACCATACTCATCACCCTACTTGTAACTACCCATGAACCTCCAAGCAGTGAGACAGCTTTCGGGGGCTTGTTCTCCGAACCCCTTCGGTGGTGTGTAGGCCGCAGTGTGATAGTGCCAGGGGCGCGAGTGCTTCAAGGAGTCAAGTCTTGAATGTGTGCCACCAGTTATATAGTTATATGACACATGTATACTGCAATACTCATTTTAGTATCAGATATGCGCGATCCACATTGAGGCCATCCAATTGATAACTGAATGTTGCTGTATCCGAATCTGTAGTTATGATCGATGCTGTTTGCATTCTCCCCTGGAAGCCGGAAGCCTCTACCACAAGCGTATCTCAAAAATCTCGACACACTCTGAACACCCGAAGCCTAAACGCTAGCTTTGCATGGATCGCCCGCGGCCCTCAGCTCTTGCAGCAGAAGCCCTAGTTTTTTCCTTTAAGTCCTCTTCCAAGAAGAGGGCACGAGCAAGGTCGTTTGAGCATCTTGTATGGCATGGCTGCTGCACTACGTGAGGCTGCTGAAGACATGGAGATGAGGGTGCCCCAAGAAGGTACCCGACCACCGATTGCCAACCACAGCGTGACATTGAGGGTACCGCAGGAAGGTAGTCGGCCACCGATTACTGCCCATTGCACACACTCAGTTGCTGGCAAGATGGGGACTGGATCGAAGAAGTGTAAGGAGTTGCCAGGTGTGGAAGCCATTGCACCTCCCTGCACGTTCGCTGCTGGTGGAGTTCGATCTGTGGCAAAGGTGCCGACTTCGCCAACTTCAACAAATGAGAAGCGACATCTACAGGAGGATCCCTGGGAGACTTCGGCAACTTCAACTTCGGAGACTTCAACGAACTTCAACTGGAAGCTCCTTGACCTCAACCTGATCATCGTGGGCAGTGGACCCGCTGCAGAGCAGTTGTTGGAGAGGCGGCTGAATGCTGGCGGGAGGGCTTGCCTTCTTTGGACCTGCCTTCCGCCCAGCTTCCCAAGAGAAGCAGATTGGGCATCCTGGGAATCCTGGGAATCGGAACATGACCAAGTGCCCTTCACTGAGCTGAGCTTTATATGGCAGCCGCCTAGCACAAGGTCCAGTGACTGCCAGGAGGTACGCCGATTGCGACGTCGCTTTGGCAGTGCCGACTATGGTTTCATGCGATGCGGTCCGGATGTGGTGGAGCTAGCTGATGGGGAGTGCTATGAGCTGGTGCTTCAGGATCAGAAGTGCGCAGGTGTGCGCGTGCTGCGCGAAGAGGTGGTTTCCTGGCAGCTGTCTGGTGCCGTGCTGCTTGTGGGCCCTTGGCGCCCCGGCAGCGGCACGAAGCTGCCGAAGCTGCCGATCCACGTGCCAGGTGAGGCTTGGCTGCGTGAGGTGGACGTCAGCGTGCAGCAGGAAGAGGCCAAGCCGCAAGTGTACACCGACGGCGGTGGTCTGGTTCATACGGCTCTCTTGACTCTATACTACGCCCTTGTCACTTTTGGCTCCTTCAGTCTCATCAACATGTATGAGCCAACGGCTGATCCCGAGCAGCCGCACTGGTGGTGGATGGCCTGCCGCACGATGACGTGGAGTGGGCAGTTTTGGTCCTTCCAGTTGACCTATGAGCTCTTAGGCTACCACCAGCGATCCCGCGCCACTGCCATGATGGCAGCGGCCGGCGCTCTTGCCTGGACGTTGTGGGAGCTCCCCTGGATGCTGTTGAGGCCGGGCGGCCGTCTACAGTATTTCATAATGACGGCCTCAGGGTTTGAGGTGTCGGTGTGTGCACAGCTGGTGCTCAGCTTTTGCCTCGAACGCCGTGAGACGCATCGCATGGACAGATTGCAAGACACCAGGAGACAAGTGCTGTGGACGGTTTTCCTCTTCATATTGAACGCACTCTTGCTTGCAGCACAGTGGACTATCATTGTCATCTATAGCTTCCTCGAGGAGCGAAGCAACATTGCAGCAGGTTTCTTTTTAAGCTACAGCACCTCCGCTTCCGAGCTGCTGGCTGTGAGTTTGCTTGAGAGAATGTATGTAAAGTTAGTGTGGCCGCGCGCCGGTGATGAGCAGTTCATCGTGTGGGGTGACAAGAATTCGGCGATCACCGTGCTCATTGGCTGGGCCCATGCCATCGCAGAGGGTTCGCGCCTGATCAGCCTCCTCTGCGCCGCAGTGCGCAGCCCGAGTTGGAAGTGGCAATGGCTTCTGAGCTTACTGATAATGATATTGAACAATTGGGTTGTGAGGCACGGATACCACCTGAGTGCTGCCATCAGAGTGCTGCCGCGGCGCTTGCACGGTTGGTTGAAGGTAGGCGGCTGCGCTTTTGTCCACCGTCACGCACGACTTCACTGTGGTTACTACCGCTTCATCGCTGTTGGGTGTTACATGGCCTGGCGGCTCCTTTGGCTTGGCGCCACTCCCCTCTTCAACACGCCCACCCTGGTGCTCTTTTTCGTGGCCCTGTTCATGGAAGCCTTGGAGGACGCCGTGGTGCTTTACCGCCTGCTGCCGCTGGATCCCTGGAAGAGCCAGATGAAGCACTTCTACGAGTCACTGCATGTTTGTCACCCAAGGCAGACGATGTGCAAGGACCAGCAAGGGATCCACGTGCAGCACCCTCCTTTGCGCCTGCATGGGGTGCGCCAGATCGAGTGGTTCCTTTCAGCAGGCGTACTTCATGTGGCCAGCAGTGTGATTCTGGTCTTGATGTGGCTACCCATCGGCGCCGGCTTCAATTTGGGCATCTGCCCAGAGCCGATCCCAGCATCGGCGAGAGTCACCGACGCGTTCTTGTGGGCAGAGCCGCTGCGATGCAGCTGACTTTTTTCAAGACTTTAAATACCAGGCCGTGGCTGATGCACATCCTCCGCATGGTCTTGTGACACTGTGAAACTATTTTGATTTCTTTTGTTTTAATGGCGTTGCGAAAGCCGACCACCTAAAGGGTGGGGAGCAACCGCCTTGTTGCCAGAACTGAAAGCGTGAGAGAACCTCAGGCGAGCATGTTGACCTAACCAAACACACTCTGCGCTGGGCGTGCTTGGCTGCTCGGAGAGCGCCAGTGCAAAGCCTTCCTGTCACACGCCTCGGCCTCAGCACGGGTTGCGAAAAAGCACACACTACGCTCAAGTCATCTCAAGGCTTAGTTGCGACGAGCAAAAAAAGCCATAAGATGAAGCATAAGATGAAGCATGTGAGCCCTAACTCCCCTGAGGTCCATCTCCACAAGAAGCAGGCGCCGATGTGGGTCTTGAGCCAGAGCTGCATGATGCGCCCCGCCCCCTCCCCCTCAAACTCCCCCTCCCTCCCCCCCCCGAAGCCTCTGCAGCCACGAAAGGTTTGTCAGGGCTTAGGGCTTAGGGCTTAGGGCTTAGGGTTTAGCTTGGAGGTTGCCTGCAGACTTCAGACATCTCTTGGCCCCAACACCCACAAAGCACACCTTCCTACTGTACAGCCTAGGCTTAGGCACTGATACAAACCACGACCCTGCCCGCCACCATCTTATGACCGCGCAGTCCCCTAGTCCGAATTCCCTACGCCCTTGAAACCG